ATATAAATCTGCCATTATAAGATTTCATTATAAAAATTAAATAGTGTGTAAATTACATAATCATATTCTTTTTAAAAATTTCTAAATTTCCTTTTTAGATATATTTTGGGATTTGAATCTATACATTCCAAAATCTTAGCATGTCATCAACCATTACCAAATCTCAAACTTTAGAACTTTTATTTTTCCTATCTGATTGTATCAATTTTTAAAGCTAAATAAAAATATCCAATGGTCCTTTGTTGATTTATATTAATCAAACGATTTCAAATCTACAAGTAGGTACCTAATATATTTTGCTACACTAATATAAACTTCTTAATATTTTAAAAAAGAAAGTAATATATTTTACTTCACTCATAGCTAGCTATATATTTTATGTTCTTCATTCTTTCTTTTGTTTATAATTTGATAATGTTTACAGGTGGTACTAACCATCACCAAATAATAAAAATAAATACAATAAAGTAGGAAGCTTGTTCCATGATTACACTTCTTGAATCATTTTCTTAAACATGTAGAAAAGTGTTTGAAAGCTACTAATTCAATGTATAACTATAACCATTACTTTCATTATCTTTTGGCAATCATTCAATGCAAGCTTATACATGAACCGAAAAATGCTTAAAAGATTTCAAGAGCAGTTTGTTTTGATCTTTTAAAAACAACTATCAACTATAAATTTTAATTAAATGATTAAATATTTTAAATTATAAATATAAACAATTATTAATTGTTAAATATCAACTATTAATTATTAATTATTTTGAAAAAGCTAATTCAAACAACTATACTCCTCAACCACTTCATAGTTCATAGTTCCGACCCTACTTGCAAAGTCTAAAATCTTTAAAGAAAAAATTATTTTCTTATTTGAATATAAAATTATCTTATGAGTGTAACTTTAAAAATAAAACAAATTTCGTAGGCACTTAAAAAACTACAAAAGTCTGCCTATTATGTTGTTGCGTGACTTAATTCAATGATCGGTTTATTAACTATTAATTTTATTTTAATTTAGAAAGTTTTTTTTAAATAGTCTATAAATTTTATAAAATATTTTAAAGTAGTTTACTATAAAAAAATTCTGATAGTTTTAGCAAAAAAAAAAAAAAATAGAAAAGTTAAATCAAAATTAAAACTGAATAGTCTCAACTAATAAAATAATTCACGACACACTATGTAAACTATTAAAACATGTCAATAATTGTGATTTTTACTAAAAAAGAGAATTAGTAAAAAAGAAAACTAAAATAGTATGTAATAAAAGGTTAAAGTTCTTCATAGTAGTGAAAAGGAACTTATCATTTTCATAAAATTAGTTTTATTTTAAAATTAATTTTAGGAAATAAAAATTCACAAAAATTATAGTTGAAAATCAATTTAACTAAATAAAGTGAAACTGTTATTTGAAAGTTAACAAATTAGATTAAATTAGAATAAAAGTAAAAGATAGTAAATGAATTTAAAAGTATCTATATATAATTAATAGATGAAATAAAAAAATATAAATATTACTAAATTATTCATTAAATTATGTGCTTTAAATTCCACAATTAAAAAGAATTACAAAACGAGTACATTTCATATATAAGTGTTTAAATTAAATACTATTAATAATTTTAAAAAAATACTACTAATAATTTAAATTTTAGTTTTACGAGACTGCACGAACCTTGGCGAAAGCTTTAGGTCAATGAGGACTTCGGCTCATATTCCTCCATAGATGACTATGAGAAAACAAAAAATACCATATATTAGTATAATAATAATTATTCAATCAAACAAACATGAAAATTTAATAATAAGACAAACATAAGGATTTTTTTTCTTTGTATGGTGGAACATAAGCGAGGACCAAGGTCTCCGTCGAGAAATATGAAAAATTAATTAATTAAATTAATTTTCCAATTCAAATTATTCCATCGCTGAGTTCTGCCAACTTCACAAAATTATATCTAATAATTTTTCCATTAACTCGTGCTAAGCATTAAAAATAATGCAACAATATTAGCATGTTCGCCTAATCAAATATACTATAACCAAGTTCCTCAACTTCATCTATTACACTGAATATCGACAAAGATGAATATACCCTATATCAATAGGCATGCCAATTGAAACAAATGACAGAATTATGTACCACAACAATCTATGGTAAAAGTCTAAAACAAAAGATTCTATTCCACCTAGGGATGCCTGTGTATCTATGTTTTTGTATCCTACATATCTGCTCCAGAACTTCCCATCTCGTAAACATGTCTAACTGAAAAGGACAAGCTTCGATGTTTTATCCATTCATTGGGTTAATTTCATAGTTTCAATAATGAAAGTACGAAGGAAGGAATAAATCTTTACAAAGACTTGATATCAAACTCACCCTCAAATAAGCTTCTGCAACCCCAAGAATGAGGAAGTAATTAGGGATGATAATTTTCTCCGAAACCCGCAGAGTTCTGCTAAAATCCCTACCTTGGGGATGGAGATTCTTGTTAAAGAAATAATAAGAAATAGTAGAAGAATGAAAAGAAAGTTTTGAGGTATGATCTTACTTTTCTTAAAGATTCAAAATCTTTTAGGATATAATAGAAGTCAAAACTCTCTTAAATTAAAAAAATACCATTTCATAGAGATACTCTTTAGCTACCAAAAGTTATGTTTGAATTTCAAATATATCTTTCCAAGTTTGAATTTAATAAAATAGATTAAAAAATCCAAAAATAATAAAAAAATAAAGTTCTAGCTGGTTAAGCCCTAAGTGCCCAAGTGCCCATCTTTTGACGATATATATAAGGGGCAAGGCCTAAGCTTCCTTGGTTTTCACTTTATTTAACTATTTGTTGATAATAAGTAGGCCTTTATAAATTCCTTCAAATTCTCATTCTTTCTTGATGTGGGATGTTAACATTTACAAACTATTCAACATTCACCCACTAGTTTGAAAATGTTAGTCTAGTTTTACTCGATAAGAAAAATGTTGAGAGAAGGTATCTCTTGATTTAAATCTTCTATTAGTGTACATATCTCATATCTAATGAAGTTAATGGTGTCCAAGGATTAAACCATAACTACTTATATTATATATGAGCGTGTGATATATATAAGACTTGTCTATCTAATCCAAGAGGTTTAAAAAAAACCTTTTGACACTATTATGGCCATGTGCTCATCCTGCTAATCATTTACAAGAGAATCAAACATCTTCTTGTTGAAGTGGCACCACTTCTATGACCATTTAGGTGGAGTTCTTTTTGTCCCTGTTGCTATAAACATTTAGTAATGATCAACTCCATTAAGAGTATACACTCATCCTCCAAAACGCAATAAACAACACTTGACTAAAGTAAAAATGGGTATCAAGTGCTAAACAAGCATATATAATAACTTGTTCTTACCCATTAAACTTTAAATTTAGAAATGATTAAATAAAAGTTGGGTTCCCATTACCAATGCCTAATTTAAATTTTTAAGCCGTATTTCTACTGATATTCTTTCCACCACATCTTGTGGTAATGCTTTTGTGAGAGGATTAGATAGATTGTCTACAAACTTTATGTAGATTATTGTTATAACCCCACTAGGGATCAACTCTTGAATATAAGTATATTTAAGACTAATATGTCTAGATTTTCCATTATAAGTATTGCTATATGCTCTAGATGTTGTAGCCTCATTATCACAGTGCAAGGAAATGGCTAGCATAGGTTGTGGCCACAACTTTATATCAAGTAATAAATTTCTCAACCATTCTGCTTCTTTGCCTACTACCACTAAAGCAATAAACTTAGATTCCATTGTGGTGTGAGATGCATGTTTGTTTCTCTAATGCCCAACTTATTGCACCTTCTCCAAGTGTAAAGATCCAACATGTAATAGATTTGTTATCACTCTTATTAGTGATCCAACTTGCATTAGTGTACCCTTCTAAGACCACTGGATAATCTAAGTAAATTAAACCGAGCTCTTTTATCTTTTTAAGATAACCAAGCACTCTTCTAATGGCTTTCCAATGTTCATGGCTTGATTTTTTTGTGTATCTTGATAATTTGCATATTGCAAAGGCTATGTCCAGCCTAGTATAATGCATGACATACATTAAACTCCCAATTGCACTAGCATATTCCAATTGAGTAACAACATGACTTGAGTTGAAAGTCAACTTTTTGCTAGGATCATATAGAGTAGGGGCTTCCTTTATATTAAGACGTTGGAATTTGTTCAACATCTTCTCTCTATAATGTGATTGACTGATTACAAAGCCATGATCATGTCTCTTTACTTTAATTCTCAAAATAGTATTTACTTCATTCAAATCTTTCATTTTAAAGATTGAAGTTACATACTTTGGTCTCATTTATTCCCAACATGTTGGTACCAAATATCAACATGTTATCAATATAGAGACATATTATAACTCCATAATCCTTAGTAAACTTTGAATAGATACATTTATCTGTATCATTATGTTTAAATCCATATTTTCCAGAATGTGTGTATTAAAATTTTGGTGCCACTACTTGGGAGTTTGCTTTAGGCTATATAGTGACTTAATCAATTTACAGACTTTTCTTTCATTTCCAAGAAGTATAAAGCCTTCCGGTTGTTCCATGTACATTTCCTCACTTAAGTCACCGTTCAAGAATGTTCTTTTAACATCCATTTGATGCACAAACAGCTTGTAAATTAAAGCCAATGCAAAGAAAACTCTTATGGATGTTATTATTGCAACAGGAGCATATGTGTCAAAATAATATATTCCTTCCTTTGGTGTAAAACCTTTTGCAACCAACTTTGCTTTGAAGGTTTGTATTGTTCCATCTATATTGTAGTTTTGTCTAAATACCCATTTACAACCAATTGGTTTAGAATTATGTGGTAGATCCACTAAACTTCAAGAATTATTGGACATGATAAAGTCCATCTCATCATTCACAGCTTCTCTCCAAAGAGCTGCATCCCTTGAAGTCATTGCATTTTAAATCATTTTTAGATCTTCCTCAATATTTAATATAATGGGTATTTTTCGAATTATTTCAATTCTAGTTGCTTCAAATAGGAATACAATAAACTGAGAAGAAATAAAATTAGGGTCAAGAGACTTTTCTCTCCTAATCCTTGTACTTTTTTTTTGTTCAATTGAACTATCATTTTCTTTCCTTTTCTCCCCAAGAAGTGAACTTGTACTTGTAGCAATTTGGTTTTCATGCATCAAATTATTCAAAGAATTTTTAGAATCAAACATAGTAGAAGAATCATTAATAAACTTGTTTTCAAAGAACTCAACATGGCTAAATTCTACTATAACATTTGACTAATCGCATAATCAATAAATACACTTCTTAAGGCTCTAGGTCCTAATTTTGTTCTTTGTGGGTCCAAAACCTTATAAAAGCCTAGAGACCCCCAAACTTTGAGATAATTCAAATTTGGCTTTTTACTATTATTCCAAGTCTCATATGGAGAAACATGAGTTTTCTTTAATAGAATTATGTTGGTAACGTGATTGGTAGTAAGAAGTGCCTTTCCCCAAAGGTTAAATGGCAACTTCGAATTATCAACATGCAATTAACCATGTCAACTAAAGTTCTATTTTTTCTTTCTGCCAAACCATTTTGCTAAGGTGAATAGGGGATTGTTCTTTGATGCATGATGCCATGTTCTTCACAAGATTGTGAAAAAATCATATGAAGAATACTCTCTTCCTGTATCACTTTGAAGAACTTTATTCTTCTCCTTTTGATTTTCCACAATAGATTTGTATTCTCTAAACTTGTCAAAAGCCTCATGTTTTGTTCTCATAAGATACACATATGTAAATCTAGAATAATCATCAATGAATGTTATGAAATATCTTTTACCCCTTTTAGTAAGATGACCATTTAATTTACAAATATCAAAATGCACTAATTCTAATATTTCTATATTTCTCTCTCTTTTTAGAAATGGTTTTCTAGTCATCTTTCCTTGCACACAAATTTCACATTTATTTTTAAAATCATTTTGACAAGTTAAATATTCATACTTAGACATATATTTTAATGATTCATAATTCACATGTCCTAGTCTAACATGCCATAAAGAAGAAGAATACTCAACAATATGAACAAAAACATTATTTATTCATTAACACTCAATTTGAACATTCCATCACAAGAATAACCTTTCCCACAAAGTTGTTATTTTTGATATAATGACCTTGTTTGATTCTAAGACAACCCTTAAGCCCCTCTTACATAATAGATTTGCAGACACCAAGTTTTTCCTAATATCAAGCACATGGAAAACATTAACCAAGGTCAATTTGTGGCCTGAAGTCCATTGTGCCTTTACCTAAAACTTTTGCTGTGACGTTGTTTCCGATGAGCACTTCCTCTGGTTCCTTCAAGTTTTCCTAAGACTTGAATTATGCCTTATTATTGCACACATGAACTGTTGCACCAGAATCCAGCCATCAATCCATGATTTGGTCGGATTTGCCATGTTCAATTTAGTCACCATCTCGATTTGCATATTAGAAACCATAGCAACCAATTCATGCTCAATCAAATTTACCTTGTTGCTTATTTCTGCATTAGTACTAGAGCAAAAATTCTTTGCATTATTCTTGAATTTGCAATCTTTAATAAAATAACCTTTCTTACCACAATAGTAACAAGGCTAATTGTTCCTGAAAGAACTTTTCTTGAAAGCACTATTTTTTTTTCCTTTTTACAAGGCTTGAGTTTATTCTTGAAAGACTTGGCAAAATTTTCACTTATGTGATTAACTTTCAATGGTGCCAATATTGCATCTCTTGAACAATTTTTTGCCTCAAGTTCGAGATGTGTTTGAAACTATTCCATTGTTAGAATTTCATTTGAATATAGACCCTTCTTCCTATAATCATTCAAAGATGGAGGAAGTTTTGAAAGTATTGCCTCCACTTGAAGTGAATCTGGAATCTCTATCTCCAATTCTGACATTCTTGATACTAGAATTTGCATTCATGCACTTGATTCATGATGGAAATATCATCTTTCATTTCAAACTCAAAATATTTAAGTGCAAAAAACTTGTCTGTATCTTTTCTTTTTCATGCTTATATTTTTTTCCAAAGCAATCCAAATTTCTTGAGGAGAAGACATGTTACGATACATATCATAAAGTCTATCAGTGAGAGAATTTATAATGTGTCCACGACATATAAGTTCATCTTTTTCACGCTTTAGTCTTGCATTCTTCACTCCTTTATAATCATTTTCTTTCGGTGCTAGGATAGGTTGTAGATTTGTATCAAGAATATATGACACCTTTCGTGTTGTTAGAAGCAAGGTCATCTTATCCTTCCAACGCATATAATTTGTGCCATAAAATCTATCGAATTTGACTACATCTGAATTTAGCAACTTGACATTAGCATTTGAAGAAAGAGTTATAGGGAATTTTGAATCCTTAATATTGTTAAAGAAATAATAAGAAATAGTAGAAGAATGAAAAGCAAGTTCTCAAGGGTGATCTCACTTTTCTTAATGATTCAAAATCCTTCAAGATACAACAAAACTCAAAATTCTCTTAGAATTAGATGTAAAACTCTAACTTTGTATAGGAATTTATATTGCCTGAATAATCACTATTTGTAGAAATACATCCCTATAGAAAGACACCATTTCATAAAGATACCTTTTAATTGCCAAAAGTTATGTTTAAATTTTAGACATATCTTTCCAAGTTTGAATTTAATAAAATAGATTAAAAAATTTAAAAATAATAAAAAAATAAAGTTCTGGCAAGTCAAGCCCCAAGTGCCTAAATACCCATATTTTGATTATATTAATAAGGGGTAAGGGGTAAGGCCTAAGGCCTAAGTTTTCTTGGATTTCATTTTACTTAACTATTTGTTGATAGTAAGTATGCCTTTATAAATTCTTTTAAATTCCCATTCTTTCTTGATATGAGATGTTACCATTTACAAACTATTCAACGATTCTAAAAATATTCCTCCCCACCGGGCAATGATGAAGGCCTTTTTTTCACAAAAATTTGTAGGAAATTTCCTCCACTCTATGAAAATCTATTGGGAACCATATTAAATAAAAAAAAATATAAATTTATTATTATATATATTTTTGTCAATAGATTATCAATTAATGTTTACTCACCCAACCCAATTGACTAACCTAACTCAACTTAAATTGCCTAGCCTAATTCCTTTTGCCAGTTCTAGTCTTCCCAAACCCAATTCAATAACCCAACTCAACTTGGACATGTATGGTAGTTCATGCATTTTTTTTTATTAACATATTGTTGGACCTGTTAGACGTATATGACCATGTGTATTTGCTACAATTAGTTACTGGATATTGCTTCATTGCACTGCATATTAATGTATTTACTTGTTTGAGTTGTTTTGAATTTTTATTTTTTTATTTATCCAGCAAAAAAAAAAGGTTAAATTATATATATTTAATACTTGATAGGGATTCCATATACCTATAAAGACTTATTATTCCTTGCGGGTATGGGGATGGAGGCCATTTTTGGCCTTCTGCTAAAAATTCCCATGAGGACCCCATACTACCATTGGCGGGGATGGAGATGGGGAGGGGGAGGGGGTCCTCATCCCTTGGGGACACATTGCCATCCCTAGAAGTAATGAACCTTTGGAAGCCCTTTAATCATCATATTACTCAGAGAAGAGATAAGGCCTTAAGCCAGATGCAGTATTCATCGATTAGTGCTTAAAAGGCACAATCATTCTCCTAGAAACTAGACCAATTTAGAGTTGGAAGCCAGAAATCTGTGTTATCAGTTGCTAGAAGTCAAACATATCTGGGATTGGATTGATAACTTGATAAATATTTAGATAATCGATTAGTACTTGAATAATTCTCCCAGAAATAAGACCAATTGAAAGATTGAAGCCTGAAGTCTGTGTTACCAGTTGCTTTAAGTGAAGCATATCTGGAATTGGATTGATAACTTGGTCAATCTTCAGATTTATTTGCGAGCAACTCCATAAATATGGGGATTTAGCAGCGAGGCATTAGACAAGAAGGCCATGCTTAGTTCTACATCTGAGAACCCAGCAGCAGAAATGTCCTTCCCTGTTTCTCTGGTAAGGTGACACCCATCAGCCAGGGTTTGTTGCAAAGGATCAAGAATGCTCTGCAGGAACTTATGGATTGTCCCATCTACAATAACATCATAAAAACATCAGCTTAAGGAGAAGTTACAAACCATATCTACCAAGTTTAATATTCAGCAAAGCATGAAAACATTAGCTCTATTAAGTCCAAGAAGTTCAGCTTAATACCTTTGGCAGCTACATGTTCCACAAATAAGAAAAGCCCTCCTGGTTTCAGCACCCTTTTGACCTCTGCATAAAAGGATAAAACTCACATTTATTTGAACTTTGTAATTAACTCAATACTCTCTATATGTCGAATGGTAGAACAAAGTAACAGGACAGTCCCAACTCTTAAACGGGAAAATGAGAAAAATGATCAGAATGGAAGCATTAGATCATTTTTAATGTGTAATATTATCCTAATTCCATGCCACAAATAAGATTCTTATTAGGTTTTCAATCAACAATACCATTGAAATTAATATCATAATTGTCTTTGTTATTAGTCTCAACTGAAGGATGTAATTGCAACTTCAATTGGGATTATTTCATTTAAGTCATGTACATTAACACAAATTAAATATGTTATCCAAAAACAAGGAGTAATATGATATGTGCTAAGATGTCTAAAAAAAAAAAAAACTGTTCCATTTTCAGTTATCTTGTGAACAAACTCAGTAAAAAGAATAAAATCCATTTAGAAAATGATTTTAGTTGAATAGCACATCAAGAGAACCTAGAAGATTCTCAAATGTTGAAAAAACTTAAATGAAGATTGTCAAAGCAACCAACCTAAAACCAATTGGCAATGGCTGGGGAGGGCTAACTTGAATATAAGACCATATGAAACTGCAAACATTAAACCACTTAACACAAAAATCTCAAGTACTCAATTACCTTTCAGTGCCATTTCAACATCTTTAACCGAACATAATACAAGTGTTCCAACAACTGCATCAACAGAACAATCACTAAGTGGAACAGCCTCTGCAACCTGTATAAAATCCATTAGGAATATGTTTCAGTTTCAAAATCAACCAGAGAAAAATGCTGGAGAAAGAAGCTATAAGATCATATTCCAGATCATTAAAATTATGATATAATGGCAGGAAGAACCATTCCTTAAAAGTAGTCAGTCCAATATTAAAGACAGATGGCAATTTCACAGCTCAGTTAGCAAAATCAGCTATGTTAGACAGATAAACAGAAAAATTGCTAGCAATGAGTCGATGCAGTTGTCTTTAGGCTGAAAGTTTTTACTTAACAGGAATGTAAAAGTAAAACAACATCATATTAAATTCAATTTCAGCAACAAAAGTTACAGTCTGTGAGGATTGAGAAGTGCTCATACAGCATGTACAAATTTGAAGTTCTCCACTGGGAGGCCAGCAGCTACTGCTGCAGCACGAGCATACTTCTCCATCTTTTTGTTAGGATCCACACCAAAAATTTGGACATCAGTATCACCAGTGTAGTACTCAAGATTAGGTCCAGTGCCAATTCCAATCTCCAAAACTTCCTTGGCCTTTCCTCTTAAGTTGGCAAAGAGTTGTGACTTGTAAACTGCAACCTAATTCCCAAAGAACAAAATGTAGCATACCAGCATCACAAGCACATACACCATAAATAACCTACTTACACATTTAACCTAAATGCACTAACTAACCTCTGCCTCATAAGATTTCGTGAAGCTATTCAGGACCGAGGCATATAACTCCTCATACCAATCTGGTCTTGGAGGGCGTATCCTCTTCAACATATCCTTTAAGTAAAAACTTTCCATTTTTAGTAGGTAACCTACTTCTGCTCCAACCAAAATAATACTCTAGACCCATGATATCTGCTTGGTATTGCTGAATTCTGTTTTGGTTTTTACAAAAACGGAAAATAGAGAAGAAAATTCATATAATGTAACCAATGCAAGCTATATAGAGGTTATGACCACCAACACTTTGTTAAGACCACACAATGCATTCAATTTGTTTAGTATTTATAATTTTTTTATTTAAACAGTTAATTATAATATTTAAAAATACTAATTTATAAATTAATTTTAATTTATTAAATAATAAATATTAATTTTTTTTAATTATTTATTTTTAATTAATTAAATTAAATAGAATTGATATTTTTCTAATAATATTGCGTGGACTAATTAAGTGGTCAAACCCACACACCGGTAAGTACCCAAAGGAATGTAACCACATTAATGAAAAAACTAGAGGAACCATATACAGGAACAGTGATAGGCGGAGTGGTAACACTCTATTCTATAAGTGGAACACCGATGGCGCATATTGTGTTGGACCAGCTCCTCCTCCTCACCGTATTAAAAATACTCCTCCCCATAATATTAAAAATATGCAATAGTTGTAATGAGTAATTATCTCATTAAAAAAAACACAGGAACAGAAAGAAAGAGGTACCTGATAATTGTTAGAGTCTAAACTGAAGGCGCCGGAGGGGCAAAGTATAGGGAGTACAGTTGCAGCGGCTGATTCAATGAAATGCCTTCTTCCACAGGAGCAGAATTTGACGGCAAGCAACGGCTGCTTATGGATTTTAGTTAGAGTGGAAACATTATTTAGGAGTGGGACTGAAGGAAGCGAGCTATTGACGTCGGAGTTGCAGACAGTGTTTAAGTGGGCAGCTGGGGGTACCAACGTAGGAGATGGGTGGAGGCGAATCATGGTTCTGGCTGCTGAATTGGGGGTTATCCCTTTCCTGGTCTGAGAGATAAAAAAAAAATTTGCATTTAAGACCCCAAGAATTCTATTTGGTTATACCACCATTTGGCCCCTAAACTTTGACTTTTGGACTCATTTGATACATAAACTTAGAAAAATGATAAAATGATCCTTAAACTTCAATTTTTCAACAACAATTTTGTTCTTCCTGCAATTAAATGCCAGCATGGACCATTTTTTCGTCCATAAATTTATTTTTCCTAATTTTGAATATTACGTCAAGATGAACATTAATTTAAACTTTGTATTTATTAATGAAACAATTAATTTATATCAATTAAATTAAAAAACTAAAATAAAATATCAAAAAATTAAAAATTAAAAGCTTTAAACTTATTTCTCTTTTTTCATTTCCCTCTTCTCCTTGCTCCTTTATCTTCCTTTCCATTTTCTTCTTCTTCTTCCTCGTCTTCTTTTCTCTTTGTTGGTTGGGTTTTAGAACCCAGATTGTGTTCTTTCTTCGTCCTGTGTCATTTCTCTATCTTCCTCTTCTATCCTCCTTTCCATTTTCTTTCTTCATTTCTCATTTCTCATTTCTCTTTTTCGATTGGGTTTTAGAACCAAATTCGGTTCTCTCACAAAACCCAAATCTAGGTTCTTGAAAGAACCCAGTCCGAGGCTTTTACAACCTAGATGCTTGGCAACTCAAATCAAATTTAATTGTCCAGCTTCTTAGTATACACAATAAAAATTCTTTTTATTAAAAATTTATATGTTAAATTACAAATTTGATAAAAATATTTGAGATACAATATCTGAAAATTTAATTATTTAATTCTTCTTTTTGAATAAAATATCTTAATGTTGACTTTTTACAGAAGGATCCTTATTAATTTGTTTTTAAACAAATAAAGTTTTCGTTTTCTTTATCAAATAAGATCAAATCCCTTTTAATAAGGAAACAAATACTCAATGCTTTTTTAATCTTGCATTTTTCACTTGTTTTTTTGTTCTCCATATTCCTCAATCTTTTTAATTTTTTTCTTCGTATTCTTTGATTTTTTTTGTTTTTTAATCTTTATTAGACTTTTTATTTTGCCACCATAGCATATTTCTATTTACATATTAGAATAACTAAATTCTTTAACTTTGATTAAAAGTATTAATTTGGTCTTTCAACATTGATGTCATGATAAAAATATAATTGTTTGATTTTACAAATCATTAATATTTTAAAAGAGAACTAATTTTGCTGTAAAATAATAAGTCACATAGCACTTTTATTAATGAAAATACTATTTTGATATCGAAAATTAAAGTTAAGGAACAATTTTAATTGTTTTTAAAATTTAAGAATAATTTTAATATAAATCTAAAAGTTAAAGAACTAAATTAGTATTTTAATCCTAGAGTGATAGTGTAATTAAACAAGTTGTAAAGGTAATCTTGTAATTATGTATAATATCATATAATATCAAAAAATTACATATCTACCTTATTTTTTAAAAATTAAGAATAAAATCACTTTAAACAACCCATTCTAACCCAATGGTATGAACTCTAGATTAGGACCGTTCACCTCCTATGAGTCACGTGTTTAAATTCATAGAACCCCTTTCTCCTTTTCTTAATGAATATGTAAATGGTTTCTTTCTTTTTCCCTTAATTAATATGTAAATAATTTCAATCTATTCAAAAAAATAGTAAAATTACTTTAAAATTATATTATTTCAATAAATTTTTATTAAAAACAACAAAAATATCTTATTTTAAAATATGAATAAAACTGTTTTTTATTTTTTTCCTAATACTTTATT